GTGTCTACAATTTTAATGTGTGCAAAAAACAGAAGAAATACATTTTATCAATATGTCATGATCCTTCTGAAAATTGATTTTGTAATAGTTTAAACCATCATTCTATAGCCTGTCTTTTAAAATGCATTTATTCTTTTATAAATAGCTCAGGACAATGTATAATTGAAATGATCACATGCAATTAGAAAACAGAAAACCCATATGTGAATATGCATACTTCTATACTAAACAGTATGCAAAAAGTTAAATACCTAATGGTCATGAACAAGAAAACTGCAGGGGCTTCATGAGTTGATGAAAAGCTAATAGTTAAATCCTAAAATTGTAAAATTAAAATAAAAAATCAAAACAATCCAAATAACTTACTAAAAAGGGTTTGATATTTTATTTGTTTACTTGCATGTCGTGTGACCATTAACTGCTAACAGAAAACCGTGAACAAGCAAATGTGTTCTTAAATAATTGAAATATTAACCTACAATCTCAGAGGGTACTTCAAGTAAATATTTCAGGTTAAACGGGTTCATCTCACAAAAATGTTGAAAAATTCCTGACCCCTTAGATTATGAACTAAGCAACCCATGTACCCTTTGCTATCCCATAAGGCCAGAGAGGTGCTATAAGTACCAATAACGGTTTTTCCCAATGATTGTTATGTTATGCCAGGTGTATCTTTCAGCAGATGAATGCTTAATTTAGGATATTAATATTTTTATTTTGTAGTGACTTGTATGGAAGCAATAAGGCACTCGAGTGCATGCTGTATTCTGAATATAGTCACCGCTAAAGCAGTGCTGGTTAAGGGTCCTGGAAATTAATTTTGGAAACCCATCTCTTGGAGGCATCCTGCCTAACAACTCCCTTTTGTCATGAATATATTCACAATATAGCACATCCTCTCACAGAATCCTTAAATTAAATACAATTCATAATATACAGGTGCATCTCAATAAATTAGAATGTCGTGGAAAAGTTCATTTATTTCAGTAATTCAACTCAAATTGTGAAACTCGTGTATTAAATAAATTCAATGCACACAGACTGAAGTAGTTTAAGTCTTTGGTTCTTTTAATTGTGATGATTTTGGCTCCCATTTAACAAAAACCCACCAATTCACTATCTCAACAAATTAGAATATGGTGACATGCCAATCAGCTAATCAACTCAAAACACCTGCAAAGCTTTCCTGAGCCTTCAAAATGGTCTCTCAGTTTGGTTCACTAGGCTACACAATCATGGGGAAGACTGCTGATCTGACAGTTGTCCAGAAGACAATCATTGACACCCTTCACAAGGAGGGTAAGCCACAAACATTAATTGCCAAAGAAGCTGGCTGTTCACAGAGTGCTGTATCCAAGCATGTTAACAAAGTTGAGTGGAAGGAAAAAGTGTGAAAGAAAAAGATGCACAACCAACCGAGAGAACCACAGCCTTATGAGGATTGTCAAGCAAAATCAATTCAAGAATTTGAGTGAACTTCACAAGGAATGGACTGAGGCTGGGGTCAAGGCATCAAGAGCCACCACACACAGACGTGTCAAGGAATTTGGCTACAGTTGTCGTATTCCTCTTGTTAAGCCACTCCTGAACCACAGACAACGTCAGAGGCATCTTACCTGGGCTAAGGAGAAGAAGAACTGGACTGTTGCCCAGTGGTCCAAAGTCCTCTTTTCAGATGAGAGCAAGTTTTGTATTTCATTTGGAAACCAAGGTCCTAGAGTCTGGAGGAAGGGTGGAGAAGCTCATAGCCCAAGTTGCTTGAAGTCCAGTGTTAAGTTTCCACAGTCTGTGATGATTTGGGGTGCAATGTCATCTGCTGGTGTTGGTCCATTGTGTTTTTTGAAAACCAACGTCACTGCACCCGTTTACCAAGAAATTTTGGAGCACTTCATGCTTCCTTCTGCTGACCAGCTTTTTGAAGATGCTGATTTCATTTTCCAGCAGGATTTGGCACCTGCCCACACTGCCAAAAGCACCAAAAGTTGGTTAAATGACCATGGTGTTGGTGTGCTTGACTGGCCAGCAAACTCACCAGACCTGAACCCCATAGAGAATCTATGGGGTATTGTCAAGAGGAAAATGAGAAACAAGAGACCAAAAAATGCAGATGAGCTGAAGGCCACTGTCAAAGAAACCTGGGCTTCCATACCACCTCAGCAGTGCCACAAACTGATCACCTCCATGCCACGCCGAATTGAGGCAGTAATTAAAGCAAAAGGAGCCCCTACCAAGTATTGAGTACATGTACAGTAAATGAACATACTTTCCAGAAGGCCAACAATTCACTAAAAATGTTTTTTTATTGGTCTTATGAAGTATTCTAATTTGTTGAGATAGTGAATTGGTGGGTTTTTGTTAAATGTGAGCCAAAATCATCACAATTAAAAGAACCAAAGACTTAAACTACTTCAGTCTGTGTACATTGAATTTATTTAATACACGACTTTCACAATTTGAGTTGAATTACTGAAATAAATGAAATAAAACTTTTCCACGACATTCTAATTTATTAAGATGCACCTGTACATACATGCGTGCCTATATATATTCATTTAGGCTTGTAAATATAAATTTATAGTAACAGTGCTAAAAGTAGTAAAAATCAAATGTATTATTTAAATTGTATTCAAATATAAACATTTCACTTGATCTCAGGTTTTGGAATTTCATATTCAATTTAAATTACAATTAAATATCAGGCTTTTTGGCATAAATTGACATGATGGCCACCCTGACGTAGGCAAAAAAAAAAAAACTTGTCCTAAGTGTATTTTATATATATATATAATTTAATTCCTTTTATTAAGTGTGAAAAAATGACTTGTGGTCCATTTAATTTTTGTTTGTGATGCAGAAACGTCCTTTTTGCAACAGATGGCAGGTTTAGTTCATCCTTCTCAGAGGATGTAAATATTACAGTAAATTGTTTAACTTCTTAACCTCACTGGTTAAAATACATTATTTTTCAAAAACATGTGTGCTAGATTGTCGTCAATTCAAAACTTTCACTATGCGTTTTGAAAAATAGTAGTGAATTATTGCAACGCTAAAAGCCCAGCATTCCATTTTTGCAACACTTTGTTTTAAAATTACACCCCAATGTAAATTATGCTAAATTAAATGGTATTTATAACTAATGGCTTCCTAAAGGATGAAAAACATATAATTAATCTCAATGCTTGGGTCTCTGAGGATTAAGCATATTAACTGGGTTATATTTTTAGCTATATGGATCTTTCTCTCCCTCTTAACCAACATACTTTCACCTCTTTTGGACCTCCATTAGTGTGAACTCATCAGTAGGGCCTTTGGTCTGTGTTACCGTGACAACCAAGTCAACAGCACCCGAGAGTGGACTAAACACTGGTCAGTTCAGAGGCACATTGCTGGCCAAGGCTGTGGAAAGATTGTGTGTGTGAAGGCTTGTGTGTGTATGTGGTACTATGAGTCACTGTTTGCCTGCATAGGTGTGTGTGTCTCTCTCTTTCTCTCCGTCTGTCATCCTCGCTGTTTTTGTGACAGGGCTTGAATATTTTGCAGTCTGTGGGTCAGTTGGCAGGTCCGGGGTCAGCGAGGGGCATGGTGTGCAGGACCTCGTCTAGCAGCTGCAGGGCACGGTGTAGATGAACTTCCACCCAGCACGGTGTCTGTTTGATGGTCTGTCGAGGGTAGTCCGGTCCCCAGCCCTTTACAAAACTAAGCCGCAGGATACACAAACGCCGCAGGTCATCAACACCTATCCCAGCTGCTGCAGACAGACCTGTGAAAATGTATAAGGAAGAGTGTGTATTACAGGAAGCAAGTAAGTTTATTTCAAGACTAGGGCTGGATTCTAATTCACTAGTTCATGATTCTATTCAGATTCTTTTGGGAATATTTCCATGATAGTGCTAATTTTGCTGACATATGACGAAAATTCTTTCTCCGTTATAAATTGCAACCTTCCAACTTGGTACAATAATAATAAAAAAATTAAAAAAAAGATACATTTTAATAATTACCAACAGAGTCCAAACTATGCAGTTCAACTGCAATTTGAGGGTCTTTTTAATATTTTTTTCTTTTTTAATGTGTCACGCGTTTCCACATTTGACTGCCTTTTCACACTGGGCTGTTTGTCTGTTTTATCTTGTATAAATGTGTTTTTACGTCATGAAATTCAACTGGACAATTCATTTTTGCAATTCCCGTTGGTCTGCAGAGGTGGTGTGCCACGCTATGCTGCTTGTTATGGTCTTTCATCCAGCCTACCTGAACCCGCTGACCTGGCGGTGTTTGTGGAGTGGACGCTGTGGACAGGCTGTCTGCTTCACTGACGGGAGTGTTTTGTGGCATGGTGGATATCGTCAAGTTTTCCTGCTTGCCGTTTGGAGTCTGCTCTGTACTCGTTTGGGCTCTGTGTTTTGGACGTTGTGTCATCGAGTGTTCCCGTTTGCCGCTTGAGGTCCTGGAGTTTGCACTCGTTTGGACTCTGTGGCATTCGAGGCCACAGAGGTTGTTCGAGGTTGTGTTCATGTTTTGCACTCAAGCGCTTTGAGCTCTGGAACAGCGCTATATAAATGTAACATTATTATTATTATCGTTATTCATTAAAAGGACCACTTCAAAAGAGTCAATAGTTTGTGAATAGGACTACACTGGTCGTGCTGTGGGTTTTTGTTTCACTAAAAGAATTGCATTGGCATTATTTACTGTACACGTGCTTTTCATCACATCATATTCATTTTATAGTGCAAAATTGGGTAAATTACTTATTTTGCTGAGGGGTTTTAGAGTCAGCACACTGCTGATGAAAAGCAGTTCAGGAAAGACTGGCACCACAGTAAACAGAATGGTTGTTATTGAAATCGTTCAAATGTTGATCACATTTAACTGGAAAATTAATGTTTTTGGGACCAGCAACTCACTGATGGCTGGAGCGATGCCTCCAACACTGCCAGGCCCCGGGATGTTCCCAGCCACTGCTGCAGCCTGCGCAGCCACAGCTGCCTGTGCAGTCGCCGCTTGCTGCTGCATCTGCCTGTGACACTGACGAAGATCAAAGACCTGGAGGAATAAAATGGGATTAGTTCACCAGCACTTGGGACAAACTGATCCAAATATTTCAGTCCTTGTCCACAACTTCATGCTTAATTTTACATATGTATGCTTGTTTCCTGAAAATAAACATGTATAATGCTGCCAAATGCATATGTTGTCTATAATGCACAAAGTTGTTGCCCTTCTGGTTTTGATGTCTGTTATGATTTAATTGCAAAGAAGAAAGCAGTGCTTAGGAGTGATGTCATTAAAGGTGCACCTTAATGAGGGCTCCTGGGTAGATCTTGTGAACGGCATCCCCTGGCGCTCTCCCTGCCTCTCTGTCCAAGTAGTAACTTTGCACGAATACAGCATGGTCACTGAGGCAACGCATCCACACGTCCCCCTCCCCACGGCACTCCAGCTGAACACCTTTACCAATGTGAAGCCTGTTGGGTAGATGTCAGGTGTTTAAAAACTTGAATCTCCGGCGATGAATGAACGTGTATAATTATCATGTTGAATGCACACTGACCGTGCCCTCTCGCTGGCATCAGTTCTGTGAACATTGCTAAGCTGACCCAAACAAAAGCGGTCCCCACCCGAAGGGTCCACATATCCATCCACTGTAACCACAGGACAATTGGCTAGAACCTTAAACATCTCCCCGACCTGCACGTCCATCTCGAAGTAAGAGATTGAGCACCAGAACTCTGGGCCTGTGGCGCACAAACAAATGATACACAGATTTAACAAAGAGTGTGGTTTATGTAGATGTACAGTATGTGTGTGTGTAGTACCTGGATGGTTGGAGACTGGTTGAGGGTATGAGGCTGGTGTGTGATGCTGAGACCCTGATAACAGAATAAAAATAACATTAACAACAAAAACACAATGATACGATGATAGTGAGAAGTATACATATAATAGTTTTATCATTAGAGACCCATCATTGTATATAATTATGATGACAAAAATCTACGTGACAATTACTAAATGTATTACATTTTATGATACATTTCTGATACATATGCATTTATATATTATTTATTATATACACTACAGAAAGATCTTTTTTTTGTTTGTTTTTAAAGAAATTGAATTCAGCTTTGCCAACACATGAATAGATTACATTTTAAAATAGAATATTAAAATAGAAAACAGTTACAATAAATTGTATATTTCATAATATTACTGTTTTACTGTGTTTTTTATTAAATAAATGCAGCCTTCATGAACATATTTCTTTCAAAAAAAATAAAAAAATCGTACTGACCCCAAAAATTTGAACAGTAGAATTTATATAAATATTATTAGCCATTTTATTTATTATATGAGATTAAATTATTTTACAGTGATTATCTATATTTTACAAAAACCATGTGTAAATATACATACAGAAGTGGCTGGTATGAGGGGCTTGCTGATGACTTCGCCCATTCTGCTGTGGTCCAGCAGGAGTATAGGAGGCTGTGCTGGTCCCCGTCCAGGTTGTTGCTGAGACATTTAAAAATAAACACTTAATATGATTTCCCATTATTTTCATATATCAGTCTTTCACTGATAATGTCATATAGATGAACTGCCTTACAAACATGTAAAGTCATGATAAAATTCAAAACGGTTAATAGTGAACATATGTGATTTATAAAAATAACTCACTGTGGTAAGATCCCTGTGTCTGTGTGTGCTTGGAGGTGCTGTATTCACTCTGGCTGATGGAGGGCTGCTGGGACGAAGGCTGGCTGTGTGTGGGTGCATGACTATGTGTTGGGGTGGAAGGTGGAGAGCTGGAGGTCAAGGCCCGTCCTGCTGGTGACAGCTTGTTGCTGAGACATTTAAAAATAAACACTTAATATGATTTTCCATTATTTTCATATATCAGTCTTTCACTGATAATGTCATATAGATGAACTGCCTTACAAACATGTAAAGTCATGATAAAATTCAAAACGGTTAATAGTGAACATATGACCCTATGTGATTTATAAAAATAACTCACTGTGGTAAGATCCCTGTGTCTGTGTGTGCTTGGAGGTGCTGTATTCACTCTGGCTGATGGAGGGCTGCTGGGACGAAGGCTGGCTGTGTGTGGGTGCATGACTATGTGTTGGGGTGGAAGGTGGAGAGCTGGAGGTCAAGGCCCGTCCTGCTGGTGAGGCGATCTGCAACAGTGCCTCAGGGTGTTCCGCCTGCATTGACAACCTGGATGCACTTGCTTTAGAAAGAGTTAGACAGAGAAAGAATGAGATCAATGTGTCAGTATCTCATTATTCTAAAAACATTATTGTTTTTGAAGACAGCATGTAAAGTTAAAGTTTGTTTTTCCATTGCTAATAACACAGGGCTCAGGTAAACCCCCAACAATGTTATGCACACCCCAATTATAATCAGTCAATCAATTCATTAATAAAATAAATTGAATTAAAAAAAATAAATAATAATAATAATAAATATATATATATATATATATATATATATACACACACACACACACACACACACACACACATAATAAA